CCTAAACCTTAAGCCCTAAACCATATGTTTTGCTTCAGTGCCTGTTGTGTGCGTCCTAGGAGAGACTCTTCGTGCACTTCTGCTGAAGCACGGAGACTTCAAAAGCATGGAGGTTGCGGTCAAGAAAGTGCACCGCAAGGTTTTCGGCAAGCTGGCAAAGGGCGGGTGGTACACCCGTGCATACCTGATGGCCCATTGTCACTGGACCAAGCCACATTGATTTCATTAGAGTGTATGGAAACAGTTGTTTGCTGGGCTGGCTGTAAATATGTGCCTGACCTGTAATGTGTCCCGACAAAGGAAGATGTGCGATGCTGCATGGGCTTGGGCGGCCTCTCACAACCGCCTGAGAACAAATGCAGTGCATCAGGAGGAGGAGGCTCAGCTAATCCTCTCCGAGACGTTCGAGCTGCTTGACGAGACTGGCCAAGAGATCCAGATGTCGGGTGAGTTTGAGATCGCGGCTGCTGGTCTTGAAAGGTTGATGCCAATGATCATGTTGCACTCTTAACATATAATGTAGTCTCCATATAGCTTTCTCACTGGCACGAATGATATGTGCATGAATATGCTCCACTACAGGATGGCACCGGCTTCCTCATGGAAACCGATCTCCCGGATGCCTCCGGCCCAGCGGAGAACATCTTGAATGGCGTCGCCTCATCTTCGGATGCTGCAGGGGCTGGTGGCAACAGCACTGCAGCAGACGCATGCAGTTCCAACTCAACGACTGCAAGCTTCAAGCACCTAGGCCTTATATCCCACGGTATGCAGCAGTATACAGTGCACTGTCTCCTGAAACCTCTACAGAGCCCAACTCTTACTGGCTTGCTTCCCAGGCTGACCTTCCCGTCGCTCACGCAGAATGGGAGTGCTTTGGGATTGCTACCGCAATTCTTGACTGTGCTCGGTCAAAAAATCGACCTTTGCGAAGACACCCTGGACCCCGGTGTGTTACAATCCTGATGCTAGACCTTGCCGGTGCACTGAACAGCTAGTCAGTGTGCAAATGCGGAGGATAAGCTCAGCGAGATCAAGCACAGCCGAGCGGCCGAGCTTCTCGTCAAAGATATAGCGCATGCTGTTGTTCCTGCATAGGTAGGCCCAGACTTGTGTGCAACCCTCCAAAGGCTGGCTAGCAGCATCCGGGATATCCTGAAGAAGCTGAAGGAGAATTACAAGAAACTTACGACCAAGCAGACAGACTCGATCACGTGCGCCGTGGACAAGCTCCCCAGACCTAATTGTCAAGATCGTATAGGGTTTCTGCAGAGCAGATTAACTAGTAGATCATCCCAGGCCGTTCAACGACTCCCTGCTGCAAATCTTTGTCGATTGCACCAAAAATGACGTGGTGATGAATAATTTCATACTGCGCACCAGGTTTCTTGGCTGCAAAACCCAACCATCCCAACCTTGACGGTACAACTATATTGACATCCCGCATAAACCCGGCCATGTAAACCCAGAGCTGCCTCATACCGATCATTAGATCCTCTACCCCAACCCGGGCCTAACCTTAAAACCCGATCCAAACTTACACCCCAAGCCTTAAACCCAAACCAAAACCCTATAAGCTTAAATCTCAAACCCTAGCTTAAGTACAAACTATTAATCCCTAAACCACAGATCTCGCAGGGAAGTTAAGGGTCTTTGAGACAAACCAAACTATAGACCTATAGGCTTAAACCCTAAACCCTGATTCCTAAACTTAAAACCCCGAACCTATATAGATGCTTAACCCTGGCCTATAACATACTAGGCCGACCATCGTAAGCAAAGGTCCCTCAAGGGAGCTGGGAGCTCGCGAGGTGGCAAGCCAAAGAAGGCACCCAAGGAGCCCAAGGACAAGAAAACCAAGAAGGACAAGAAGAGCAAAAAAGCCAAGGACTAGATGCCTTTTGCTGCATGCAGGGCAAAGCTCTGCTGCAAGTGATCAAGCCAGCTTGTGTTGCAACGGAGCATGCCAAGTTGGGTACTCGATAATACCTAGCTAGCTGCTCAACTCAGTAGATCGACACATTTTCTGGATGGCATGCTCTATGTTGCCGAGCAAGCGACCGCGGATGCAAGTGTGTCAGAAGCTGTATTGGGCTACGCAAAGGGGTGCTGGGCCAGAAACAGGAATGCTGCTCAGCGGGGTGCAGCAGTGCAGGTGTGTGCAGTACAATACATGCATGTGAATGTGGTCTCACCCCTCGCAGGTCGGATCCATCGTGCAGCGATCCAAGCGCAACAGGAAGATGTAGGTGGGAACTGTATGCGGATTTTTCGGGTTCAGTGTGGTTTCCTAAATGCATCCGAGAACCCATGCAGCCAAAGCCTCTCCCCGCAACCCGAACCAATTATCCAGCATGCCAAACTCGATGGAGGCAGCCACCTGGCCGATGATGACGAAGACTGCGATCTGGTGGAGGAGCTTTTCGTATCCTACGCTGCGGGTGAAACTGGGGCTGCAGCTTAAGATATAAAGCCCTAAACCCTAAACCCCGGGCCTTACTATATAGGAAGGGATAGGCTTATCGACTAAGGCAGAAAGTGCCAAACGTGTGGTACGCTTAGCGACAGTTGCCTCAAATCTGATGCGAAAGCATGGTCTCTTAGCTGAATTTATTAATATTTTTCTAGGTACAGTTCTAGTGTATACTATTACCTAGACTGTGTTGGGTGTTCGGTTCCGACCAAGGCTTTGCAGACCGGGTACTGGACAGAGTATCTGCCTGTGGTCGATCTGACAAACGGAAAAGAAACGCCTTGAGAAACCTGACTCTACTTATTCAGCGCTGGGCGAGGACACTACCTTTGGAGCCAAGCTTGGTACCAACCAAAGTGAGGCTAGTTCGGGGGCGTGGCCAGGAAGCTGAAATAGAGTTCCCTGTTATAACGCCCAGCACCTGGTTTTCGTTCTTGCTCGAGAACCATCCCAAAGTATTGCTCGGCGGGCATCAGCTACAAGAGGTTAAGCGGTGGGAAAGCATGTTCCATGAACTTTGGGAGCGGCTTCATGTCATTGAGCATGGCAATTGCTCGCTGGATGATGATTATTCTGACTGTTGCAGAATCCCCATCATGATACATGGGGACGAGGGAAGAGGCCGCAACAAGTCCCCGTTGATGGTGATATCAGTTCAACCTTTAGTTGGCTGG